CCATCGTCGAGTCCTGCAAGAACCTCCGCCGCCTCTCGCTCTCTGGCCTCCTCACCGACCGAGTCTTCAAATCCATCGGCGCCTCTGCCGATTGCCTCGAGATGCTTTCCATTGCCTTCGCAGGCGACAGCGACGCCGGGCTTCACTACATCCTTTCTGGCTGTAAAAGCATGAGGAAGCTTGAGATAAGGGTTTTACCGCCATCGTCGAGTCCTGCAAGAACCTCCGCCGCCTCTCGCTCTCTGGCCTCCTCACCGACCGAGTCTTCAAATCCATCGGCGCCTCTGCCGATTGCCTCGAGATGCTTTCCATTGCCTTCGCAGGCGACAGCGACGCCGGGCTTCACTACATCCTTTCTGGCTGTAAAAGCATGAGGAAGCTTGAGATAAGGGATTGTCCATTTGGAGACAAGCCTCTGCTGGCAAATGCTGAGAAACTCGAGACAATGCGATCCCTTTGGATGTCGTCGTGCAATTTGACCTTGGGGGCATGCAGGACGCTGGCGAGGAGGATGCCTAGGTTGAACGTGGAGGTGATCGACGAGAGTGGGGGATTGAAGTGGGATCCTAGCATGCCCGATGACTTTCCCGTCGAGAAGCTCTATGTTTACAGGACTCTAGCTGGCCGGAGGTCAGACTCGCCGTCGTTTGTCTATACCTTGTAGAGAGAGGTACTCCGTTTGTTTCGCTACATTAATTTTCTTCTCTCTCGTTGATGTGTTAACCGTGCAATCATTTTGAGCGAAGCGCGCAGATGATCGGCGAAGAGAGTATAGAGCCATGTTTTTTTTTCTCCCTCTTGAAGACAGCTTATAAAGTGTTGTATTTGGTAGGAAAGAGGGTTTTGGGGATTTCACTGTCAATAAGAGCGGGGGGAAACAATGCTGAAGGACTGTATAATTTTATGAAGAGGATTAGGTTGTTTGATGGAGGTCTGGTTCTTATGTAAATGAGGGTCTTTTTAGTTCCTCGTATTGTTTAACTGTGTAAGTTGTAAGGAATTGAATCAGAACCTTTTTAACACTTGGGTTCAATATTTTAGGTGTCGATTTTGTCTGTATTATTTTCTTGAATGCATAAGACGAGAATTATATTTGATTGTGGCCCTCTTTTGGTTTTTTGCCACACCTTTTGGATTATATTTGATCGTGGACTTTTCTATTGGTGTATGGGTTCGTATCGCAGCCCGAAACTATCGTGCAGGTGGCATTTCAGAGGGGGGTTTTCTTGAAGAAAGATTTTCTGAAGGAGAAACAATTAAGAAATTTGTAATGAGGGGATGGTGAACGTAGTTGTCCTGCTGTGTTCCGAGTAGCCAGCTAGTCCGTAATATGTGCCTCTGTAGTTTTGATTTCAGCAGCATACAATAGACCCGCTTTAGTATTTACACTAAGGGGGTTAAATTGAATGAAATTCTTTCTCGCATCTTTTGCTCGCAGACTCGCTAGTTTCACTGAGACTTGCAAGATGATCCAAGCTCCGATTTTAAACATTGTGAACAAAAAATTACCTTCACCAGATGGTATCATTAAAACATGGTATTAGTACCAACAACAGTAGGGCTTGAACTTTCATGTTTACATTAGAAACATTACATGATTACATGATCCACACTGATTATACTGCCAGCTTCCGATGCCCAACAGTCGACGGTTGAATCTATGCATTCGAAATGTTACATGATTCACACTGAATATATCGTCCGCTTCACGTATGTATCAGTCAAAATAGCAGGTTCTCTCAGCCGTATGAGGTTTTTGAACCCATCTCTGTACAGTCGGAGCGTAAATGTGAGCATATATACACTGATAACTCATGTAATGGCTGCTAACCCGATGACACCATCATCTTCGATGCCAGACCTAGGAACTGATGACGTGTTTCTGGTTCTAGCTGAACATCAGAGGAGACGAAATATCAGTTGCTCATACCATAATCAATCTCATAAAATATTGCATGTAGAATGAAATATAGTATAACAAAGATGATGACTAGGTTATTTGGTATTAATATGCTTTTGGGAAACAGATTCATGCCTTGCCTGCAATATATTTAATAAATAAAACAAATTTTCACACTGATGATTACTTTCTAAAACACAACTGCCAACCATAAGGAGATGAATATCTGAAAGCTTATTGGGCTTCATGATAGCAAGAAAAAAAGAATTGAGAAAATTCATGACAATAAACCAGCTAGGATATTAATGGTAAGGTGGTGAGAATGCACAATGATTAATCCTACTGAATGATCAGAGGAAAAGCAATATCATTGGGAACCCGGTGACATCCCAGCATGAACTGCATTTATTTACTGTGAAAAAATAGGTTATTGGCCTAGCTTAGTTGGTACAGGTATTCTCGAGAATTGAGATATATCCAATATCAGATAAAAGAATCTAAACATGTTTCCTTTCAAGGGTTGTTCTTCCACATCAAATTATAAAAGTTATAAAATATCTGACAGTCCCAAAGAGGGTAATACGGTAGTTATCTGAGTACATAATTGGTTATTATTCAATGTTAGTCTCTTGTTTATCAGAAGAAAGTAACTTCAAGAACTGAATCACGGTAATAGTTTAAATAATTTCCATGTCAGCAGTCAAGTTCACTTTGCTGAGTGTCTTTATGGGAAATAACTATTGATGGGTGATTAGGTGTAGCAAGCATCAGTCTCCTTTTAGTGAACAGAAAAAAGTGGCATGTTATTCATTAGTTCTTTGCTTATAGATCATTGAGTCTTTGAACCAAGACTGGAGCTTCTTCTTACAAACAATATTTGCTTATAGATCATTGAATAATTTTCTTTTCTTCAAAAATAATTTTCTATTGTTATAAACGATTTAACTTGCATAAGTTATCATAAGACAAATATGACATACTGTGATTCACAGGTAAGGATTTTCCCTTATTGCTAAAAAACTCGAGATTAGAAACTGCAACCATTGTAGCTTCCTTCTGAAGAAAAATGGTTTCAAGACCTCGTCAGGATTCAGGTTGTATGGGTTGAGTCAGGTTGACTTGAAGATAACTGTGTTAAATATACAAAGCAATGTGTTTATTGAATGGTTAGGATATGGATTAGGCATAATCAGGTTGACTCAACAATTACTTGATACAAAACCTACCCAACCCAAACCAGCCCAACTAAATTACCATCCATAGTTCTTCCCTACATGGCAGCACTTCTCCTCTATCTTATATTAAGGTTCATGTTGCTGATACTCATCGTAATCATTGCACGTCAAAAAGGGCACAAATTTAGATCGAAATCACTTCCATTGCCAAACTACAGCTAATCTCATGGAGGCACCAAATTCATGAAAGTTAATGAATACATAAACAAATAAAGCAAGGAAATGCAAGTAAAACATAACTAGCTTTTCATCCATAAATAAGGAAAAGCAATAAGAGCAAAATTTTCACATGTCAATTGCATGTTGCACAGTCTCAGGCATTAATAGACAGTGACTTTTGAACAGCAGGGAGAGCTAACTAATTCCACAGATTTTAAACACAAGAAACCATAAGCAATATCGGAGATCCCCTTACCCGGGAGAAGGCGCTACACCAAAAGCTAGACAATGTGGATACTATGATATGAATGACAATCAACTCCAATGAGGAAAACCAAAGAACTGGTACTAAAAAAACCTCTCCTTTAAGGATGATATTACTGAACTACAAACTAAATTGGGATAATTTTTTATGCTTTTGGATATCCATGCTGCAAATATGGCAAATGATAATAAAGAATCATGAACCCAACATACAGCACTTATGCAGCGAAATCAGGTCATAAAGAAAGAAGTTACCCATAAACAGCAATGTACAGTTTTGCAACAATCCAGGTAAACAATATTAAAGGTAAGGAAAGAGGATATAATCTCGATGACTAGAATAAGATAGCCGGATATTCACCTGTAACATTGGTTATGACATTGGTGATCTTTTGAGCAGCTAGTGCTTTCAAGTTATTTCCAGTAGCTAGTTGGAGTAGGCTCCTCATGTGCTGCTTTTGTTCTTTAGGACTACTTGTTTTTAGCAGAGCATCTTCAAAAGCAAGTAAATCTTCCCTAGTGATACAAGGAAGGGACAGCAGAACCTACACAAAAACCAAATTTCACTTATTAGTGTCCAAGTTATTTTTTAACTCAGATTGCTCAGATATACTGTTCTTTGACTGACCTGTCTCGGAGAGGGGTCTTTATTCAATAGATATACAAATATTTCTCGGCACAAACCAACAAGATCAGAACTTATAATAGCATTTGACTCGAGGGTTAAACCTCGAATAATAGCATTGAATAAATCCTTAACAACAAACTCTCCAAGTTCAGTGCAATTAGTTGAAGCAGCAAGAAGAATCAGAGATCCACAAAAGGGGACAATTTTGGTTACTGCCTCACCATCTGTCCAATTAAATACTTCAATACTTATCTGCAGCGCAGGAAGAGCAGGACCTTTATGTCCCATCAGAAAGCTGCAAATAAACCACGGTTTCAATTTAATATCACTCAGCCTAGAGTCAGTGCTGAAGGAAAATGTTAATATATAATCAGATCCATTGAAAATAGTGATGAATGTGCAATTCGAAATCACGAGAGTTATTATTACTCTCTTTTATGGTCCTTGTTCATTATGGTAATTAAATGTATCTTCTCTAACCAAAATAAATACTACTACCTTTAAGACTTTAACTAAGGACTTCCTAGAAGGGTTTTGCAATATCAAGTTTAACACATGGCTAAAAATAGAAAACAAAGTTTGTCTAGTAGAACTACTGATTTGTTTACAAAAAAGGAGCAAAATCACCATAAAGAAATTTATAAATAAATGTGGAACTTAAAAATCAGAAGTTTACCATATCATTGAGTTCGATGAAAATGAATCCAAATTTTGAGGTAGTGACGCTTCCATGCGATTAGCATTGCCAAGTTGTTCTAAAGAAGGAAGCCCAGAGTTAAGAACTGGTGATGCTAGAGTTGAGAGGAGAGAACATATTTCCCGAGTCAGATCACGCAACAACTTTTCTTCCATTACTTCAACCTTCAGGTCTAAACCAGCGAGATTGCCAAAATTATCAGGAACTTTTGCTCTACCCTCTTGTAGAAGACTGGTCCATGAACAAAAAAGAGCTTGCTGGCAGTGCAGAAATAATGGATGCAACAGAGTTTCTAGCCATGAACCCCATAAATCTGGAGGGCAGAACTTGACCAGAGGAATTACGATTGAGTGAATAAGCTGACGTATATGTCGAAATTCCATTGATTGTACAGTCTCCATTAGAGAAAGTGCAACTGAAGGACTCTCTATGCACCGGAAGAAGTAGTCCCCTATAGTTGCTGACAAACCAATCACATTGTACCTGCAATCGTGCAAAATAAACCACTGCCTTATGGCATAAAAAAGGTACAAGATTCAAACACGAAGAAAATGTCAAATGATAGGAAAGGATTGAGCATTCTACATAATACTAAAAGAGAAAAGCTGACAGTTAAATAAGTCGCCCGCCATCCGCACGCCTTACCGCCCAAACTACAGAGTTATTTCTCTGATTTATTTATTGCAGACCGAATTTTACCAATTGCGATGGAGGACTACCGCTATACAGAAAAAGAACCCCAGGGACCTATGTCACAAACATAGTTATGGCTCAACAAGTGATTATACGCACTCCTATTCTATTGGATTGTAGCTATAGTATGATTTAAAGAATGAGTTTCAAAACATAATGGGTACTAGTCTAAAGACTTATTATGATTTCAACACCGGGATTTCAGAGTATGTGGTTTGTAATTTTGTATCATAAGTTATTTAACAATTTTGAATTTGCGTACTTTGTTATTTGTGCTTCAGAAGAACAATTTTTGCAACGTTCTTGTGAAACATCCGAGTGATTTGACAAATTCAAACTTAATCCTGTATACTTGTTACTTTGCAGCAAGATTTCCGTATTCCTGCGATTTATGGAATACGAAGGAATGTGCTAATTGTTGCTTTACCATGCATGATTTTGCATGTCTGAACATTATGATTTTTGTTTTTTGTGAAATAATTAAGATTCAGAAGTGTTTTATGAGAAAGGAGAATACGATA